CTGGCCTGGCCATTCTGGTCTTCCTGGTGCCCTGCCACCCAGAGCAGGCATACCAGCCCTAACCACAGCCTCCTTCTCTCCTGGCATAAGTAGACGGCAGTACAGACGCAAGGCTAGGCACAGGGGCCCGGGAGTCCCCTCCAGCCCTCTGTCTTCATAGGCCTGGTAGACATGGAAAAGGCAGCCTGTCAGAGCAAGCCTCTCATTAAAGATGGAGTGGCTAACAGGCCTCTCTGCGCATACTAATTACTTGTCTCCAAAGAAGCCGGCAGAGGGTTGACTGGCAAAGCTGAGCAGTCTGAACCCACCGCAGCCAGGCTCCCGCTGTCATGTTTATTTCCCTCTTCCAGAAACTCCCTCCCAGGCCCCCTTCTGTCTCCCTCTCTGTTTTCAAGTAATTTCTGAGTGGGTGGTTACATGTAGGACGCTCCTGGGGAAAGAAGACTCGGAAAATATGGAAGAGAGTGGGCTCAATAACGTCAGTTAAACTTAACTCTTCCTCTTCATAAATATCATCTAACCATATTGCTAGACATTTGATTTTATAAAGAAGAATGATATGTGTTCTTGTGCCCAGTAGCCTAATGTTGCTATTTCTAGCATTTTAATATTTTTCTTTGAGTTTTTCTACCATTGTTATACATTAGTAAGATACACTTTTAAGAGGTTGTGATTGCCGGGCGGCGGTGGCGCACGCCTTTAATCCCAGCACTCAGGAGGCAGAGCCAGGCAGATCTCTGTGAGTTCGAGGCCAGCCTGGGCTACAGAGAGAGATCCAGGACAGGCACTAAAACTACAGAGAGAAACCCTGTCTCGAAGGAAAAAAAAAAAAAAAAAAAAAGGTTGTGATTACTCATTCCTCTGTATTTTGCCTTGTTTCTGCTCATGTTATGCATATTGGAAAAGCTCTCACCCTAGCCGGCTTCCTCGGTGATCCTGGTCTTCCCTGAGTGCCTCTGTTTGTCCAGCGAGGTGGCTTTGTTAACTAGTTTCACAGGTATCACTCAAGAAATTACCAAGAGAAACTAAGTAAGAGCTTAAAGAAACTGGAGTTGGCAGAAAAAACTATACATGAGTGTGTACATGCATGTGCACGCATCGAGCGCGCATACACACACACACACATACTCACTCACTCACCCCAACCCAGGGTGTCTTTTTCCTAATCCCTACAGCCTGTTAATAGGTTCCATTAGAAGGCAAGGAGGAGGGGTTGAAGTTGCAGATGGAGTTGGGGCTGCTAACTGGCTGGAGTTTGGTTTGCTCTGGTTCCACTGACCCCAGGGTCTGGTACGTGTCCATCAAATCTCTACCACGGAGTTATACCCCGGCCCTCATGTTTTATTTGTTTTGTTTTGTTTTGTTTTGTTTTGTCTTGAGACAGGGTTCCATCATGTAGTTCAGGCTGCTCTGAAATCCACAATCTTCCTGCCCCTACCTTCTGTACACTGGGATTACAGTACTGTGCTCAGTTTGCGAGGCTTAAAATGGGAAATTATTTTGGATTTTTTTTGGGGGCGGGGTTGATGTAGTTATGAGGATTTTTTTTTTTCCTGAGGCAGGAAAAAAGACTCTGTGTAGCCTTGGCTGTCCTGGAACTCACTCTGTAGACCAGGCTGGCCTTGAACTCACAGAGGCCAACCTACCTCTGCCTCCTCAGTGCTGGGATTAAAGGTGTGTGCCACCACCGTCTGCCCAGATAGGATTTTTTCGATATAAGGACTCAGAAGGGAGAACCAGAGAGACCATAGCATAAGAAGGACCCCATCCAACGTTGCTGGCTTGGAGGAGGGGACACAAGCCAAGGAATTTGGGCTCTTTAGAAGCTAGAAAAAGGATTCAGGGAAACAGTTCTTTCCTGGGATCTCCAACAGAAACCACAGGCCTGGCCACACCTTGATGTCATTGGTTCATTGAGACCCATTTCAAACTTCTAACTGCTGGAAGTGTAAGGTAATACATTTGTGTTAGCTAAGTCACTAACTGTGTGTGAGTTGTTATAGCAGCCATAGGAAACTAATACAGCGGCCAAGATCAGCTTTCAAAGGCTAAGCGAAGCAATACGCAAGTAGTCCAAACGCCAAGGCAAGGCCTTCCCCGGCTTGTCTTGGCAACTCCTTGCACCTTAAGCAAGCAGCCCAGCCAAGCCCCCACTGAAGCATTAGAAATACTTGCTAACAAGGGCGGCAACGGGGTCTTGTCCAGACTCACACAGTCACCCATGCTGTGTTAACAGAGGCTGTGGTGTCTCAGAAGAGGCTGAGACGTGGACACTCAGGGAGCAGTCAGCTGAAGCAAACGTTTGCAGAGAAGAAGTGAGAATCCAGATCACCTAGAAGAGGTCTCCTGTCTAGTGGTCCCCACGAATCCAGAGATCACCCCTTGGCTCAAAGCAAAAAGGAGGTGGCCAGCACGCCAGTCCGACCTATCTATCCCTTCTTTAAGGAAGACAAGATTTTCCAGGAGCTCTCAAGAGCTTGCTATTCCGTCTCTTTGTCCAGAACTGGGTCATGCAGTCACTTCAAAACACAAGGGATTTGGGGAAAGGGATTCAGTTAACAACAACAAAAAAAAAAAACCAATCAAAATGGATTGGGAGTCTGTTGGTAAGCAGCAGAGAGAGGAAGAAGTATTTCACAGTTTTCCGTAGTTCCCCACACCCTGGGCAAGGCGAAGAAAGAAAAGCTAATATTGTTGACCGTCTATCTGAAAGAAGTCTAGAATACATTATACACCTCAGCTCGTTACCCTCTCCGCTGAGGACACTGAACAAAATTAGTTGGGAAGTAATTAATTTGCCTAAGGACACATGCTCAGCAGGAATGGCTTGCAAAGCCGCTCTGCTGTCTCCTTCAGCGCGCTCCCCTCATTCCCACTCAGAGCTAGGAGAACTGAACGTGTTCTCACACGTGCAAGGCAGGCTGGAAGGAGCCCAGGAGGCCTGACAGGAAGCAAACGCCCACCTTGCCAGACCCGGGCTCAGGAAGGCACATCTCATCCGATTTCGTTTACAGTACCTGGAGAAGGCTGGCAAAAGGACTCAGCCAATGGGTTCAGTCCCCCAGCACCTGCTTGGTGGGGGCAGGAAAATATATATGTGTGTGTGTGTGTGTGTGTGTGTGTGTGTGTGTGTGTACATACATGAGCCTGGTAGCATAGGCCTGAAATCCCACTTTACTCATAAACTTGAGGCAGGAAGGTCCCAAGTTCAAAGCCTGCCTGTGCAGCTTAATGAATTCCCAAGATGAAAAGGGGGCGGTAGGGGGACGCTAGGGATGCTGGTTGGTAGTAGAGCACTTGCCTAGCATGTGGGAGGCATCAGGTTCCATCTGCAGTCTGGACCGTGGGCCCTAAGAGACAGGAAGGGTGTGCATCTTGTTGATGAGGTTGTGTAACTTAGGTGACCGAGAAGCGGTGGATCACAGGGTAGAATTGTGCGCTCACTTAGTTACTAATTCCCAAAGAATGTCTTTCTGGATTTGTAAAATCTAAATCTCTTAGGCCGTGTGACTCTAAAATATCCCGAACTTCCCACTCCTAACACTCGGTGAGCTCCACTTTGGGGGTTCAGGAGGCTCGAAGACTTGCCCGTGGTCATAAAGTCCTGAGGCAGAATGGGCCTTGGATGCTGACACCCTGACCAGAAATCCAGGTGCAGACAAGTCCCAGGCTTTCTCTTAAGCTCCCATCCGATTCTGCTGGGCATTCTGGACCTCTTCATGTCTGCCACGACCATTGTTCGGGCTCAGCGTGTCTGTAAGACTGAAGTGAAAGACTTCTCAGAGGTACAAAGGGCCTTGCTGCCTGTGGGACTCGGGAGACATTGAACCTCTGATTTCACCGGCCCCATTTACTCTCCAAACTTTGGTCCTTTTGATCTGTGCGCTAACACACTTTTCTTCTCGTTGCGTTGACCATTGAGTCGGGTTTTACTGAGTCCTGACAAGCACGAGCGTGTTGGACTCTAGTCTCACAGCTCTTACTCTCCAGGACATTCGATGAAGCACCTGCTTCAAACCATCATTTGTTCCCCTGTTAGCGAGATGGTGCCTGGAGCTAAGTCCTGGTCCATTGATGAGATTAAACGTTCTTGGGGGAACAGGAGGCTTTGGGCTGATGAGAAATTTCAAGCTCTGAGTTCTGTCTGACTCCACGGGCAACTGGTTGAGCCTTCCACGCTCTGTTGTGGTTTAGATATAACCAACGTTCTCATGTGGGAAATTTATTCTCTGTGTAGCCTATCCTGGAACTCGCTCTATAGACGGGGCTGGTCTCGAACTCACAAAGGCCAGCCTGCCTCTGCCTCCCGAGCGCTAGGATTAAAGGCGTGTGCCACTACCACCTGGGTATTCACGGGCTTAACGAACCATCCTCAGCATTTCCGTATCGTTTGAACTCTGTCCACCTTATAGATTTACAATGAGGAAAAGGCTTTCCATACAATGTAAATCCCTGGTCAAGCACTGGCTGTCTATTCCCCATGTGCCTTGCACAGAGTGGCTGAATTTGGGAGGAAAAGTCCCAGAAAAATTCTCCCTAGCTGAAGTGAAACGCAGCACCGCCAAATATTTTCAAAATGCCAGGCTCCCTGAGAACACGGACAGGCTCTGTCTGTCTGTTTTTACATGAAAAGTATTGGATGCTAAGGCCACTGTGCACTGCTTTTCACTGCGCCGGGGCCGTTTTGAAGGGACTGACATGATTTCCTCGCCTGAGATAATTCTCCTGAGGCTTTACTCTTTCCTAATGCTTTATACCAAGATGGGGTCTGGCATCTGTCATTTCTTCTTCCCCTCTGACTGGTATCCTCGGGGGCCTTTCAGGACTTTGCCCGCTGGGTTCTTGGATGGTGTTTATTAGCCAAGGCATCTGTTATTGGTGCCTTCTGGCCCCTTCTGGGAGTCTCTGGATTGCTGGTGAGGGCTGGGCTAACCAGCCTGCATCAACAGGAGTCCCGGGGGCTCAGCCGCTGTGCTATTTCCTGATTGGTGTCCCTACAGAGGGAGCAGGACACAGCCTGGCAACCTTACCTCTACTTCCGGAGCAAGTCAAAGAGCCAGCCCCAACGGCAGATCCAGCCTGGGTATTCGGCCAAGAGATACCTCCGAGGCCTTTTGCGGACATGGTCCCCTGATACCGTGTACAGGCTCCAGTGTGCAGGTCAGTGGGAAAATGGGAGGGAGAGAACGCCAGTCTCCCCCACCTCTCAGTCTGATGTGAAGGGGTGTTTCCCATTGAATGCCAGAAACATCAGGATTTAAGGTCCAATTCTTCACTAAGGCAAAGTCCCCAAGCTTTGGAGTCCACAAGCCTCTATCCCAGCTTTTATCTTCACTGACATTTGCAGAAGGAAGGGCCACCTGAGTACTTGGCCCGACGCCCACTGCTCAACCTCGGCCCCTCACATTCCACAGCCCAATCCAGAACTGGCTTCCCAACCTACCCCACACCTGAGGCCTCAGAGATCTTCCAACTTACACCCCACAGTCCACAAGACAAGACAAAAAGGAGGTCTAAAGACAAAAAGTTATTTATTTGTCCATAGTCAGCCAACCAGAAGCAGAGCTGGACCCAGAAGGCAGATACTTCCTGCACCCACAGCTCCACATTCTTCCCAGCGTTCCCAAGTTCCCTGTCCAAGGTCATCTCAGGTCATCTCAAGAAGGCAACTCTCCGGCACAATCCCCTCAGGAGAGAGAGATGAACACCCCTCCGCCTGACAGAAACCCCAAATGCACTCTGCAGACTTAGGAAAGCCTGAAGCAGGAATTCGAGTTGCCAGATTCAGCACACTACACCCACACAAACAGTGAAACTCACAATATTTGGGACATATTTCTACTAAAAAGAGTTCATTGTTTATCTGAAACTTAAACGTAATTGGACATCCTGTATTTTATTTGGCAGGCTGCGGGGGATGAGAGATGGGTGGGAAGATGTGCCAGACCGCACTTCAGTTGTTTGCCGTTTCTTCGGCACCAGCACACGGGACCAGAAAATTCTGGCTTGCTTCTTGTTTTACAGGTTTACCTGGGAAGGGAGAGAAAACAGTTCCCTGCCCCAATAAGTGGCGGCTTGAAACAAAATGAGAGATGTGGCCTTGTCTGGCAATTGGCTTTACTTTCAAGGCAGTCCCATGGTCACAGGCAGGTCTGTTTACTTACCACTTGTGAGAAAGAGCTTCTCAACCAAAAAGGGGTTGTCACTGGCTGAGGCCAAGGCAGGGCAGGCTGCTGTCCCACAGTCTGGGCTCAGGGTCCTCCAGAAGGCGGGCAGCTTTTATAAAACAAAAGAGCTCAGCTCCGTCCATGGCGTCATCTGGCTAGCATGCGTGGTCTAAGAAAAGGTGCAGGGACCTTGTATTTGCAGGGCCCCTTGCCATAGCCCCTTGCTAAAGTGTCTCTTTAAAATAGGCCCTCAAGCTGGAGGAGCAAATGGGGAGGCTTCAGTGAGAGGCCAGTGTCCAGACAGCTCCATCATTCTCTTCCCCCTCACCTTGCAGACGTGAATGAATTCTCTAGTCTCTTCTCCCTGCCCCTGTGATGAATCGACCTCACCTTTCAAGACTGTTTCTTTTCTTTTCCTTTCTAAATGTACGTTTTGGTGTTTTTGTTTTGTTTTGTTTTGTTTTGTTTTGGTTTTTTGGTTTTGTTTTTCTTTTTCTTTTGAGACAAGGTCTTACCATGTATCCCTGGCTGGCCTGGAAATCGATGTACAGATGTCTGGCCTCAAACTCACAGACATCCTCCTGCTTCAGTCCGAGTGCTGGGACTAAAGGCACAAACCACCATGCCCAGCTTTAAAAGTTGTTTAAGTTAATGTTTATGTTAGTATACAAAGTACTAGGTTTCATCAGGGCACCTTCACACACAGGTCATTAGAGTGTGTCCTCTTTCCTTCTCCCGTCCGACTGCTCCTCAGCCATCTTTCTTCACGGTTAGCGCCTCTTCTGCCTTACATCATTGCCCTCTGTATCTTCCACCTCCCTCAAGATTCTTTTCCTGCCCTCTCATGATGCCCTTTAAAGTTTCATAACCTCCATGCACATGCACGTGCACATACACATTTATGTAAACAAGCATATACAAATACTTTTCATCTAGACTGCATATCTAAGCCCCAATCTCCTACAAAGGCTCTTCTAACAATCCCAGCCAATAGTCAGCATCTGGCCTCACATCACACTGATACTCAGAGCTACAGAGTTGAGTCCAGAGAGTTCCATCTCTCCAACCGGCTGTGAGAAATGCATGCCTCGTTCCTCTGTGTCTGCCCTGCAGCCTAGCAGACGGTAGGTGCTTGGTAAAACTTCAGGAAATACTGCAGAATGGTTTCATTAGACTGATGATCATGGGCAGACAGAAGAGAGTAAGACATACCCACTGTGATTAATCTCCTTCTGGAGCAGAGCAAGCCTCCTAGTCGACACCTAGGAAGCAGCCACGGTTTGGTTTTGTTTTTTCCCAACAAGGACCTAGTTCTTGGGAATGTCGATGTGGGACATTGGCCCAGAACCAGAAGCGCCCAAGGCACTTGACGGGGAACCTTCATGCATTCCATCTGAGTTTTCTAATCCTGCTCATCTCCTAATTGTCCTCTTTAATGTCTGTTCAAAGTGGGGAACGTGTAGTTTCCTCCAGAACTCAGGATTGGTTATTATACTTCCCGTCAGTAACTCCTGACCTGCCCCTCAGGACACATCAAGGATTCTGTGCTGCTCCAGGACAGTCAGCTCGGGGTACCCAAGAATCTCCGGCCACACCAGGATCTTTCGGGTGTTCCCCCAAAATACCATCTCCTGCCTGTCTTCCCTTCCTTTTGGATTCAACAGAGACCATCTTATGAACAAGGTACGAGTTCATTGTTTTTTTCCATTTCTCATGTGTGTGTAGTAGGATGTGCATGTGTATATGTATACTTGATTGTGTGTGGGCACACGTGGGTGGGTGGTGTGCTCGTCTACACATGTGTGGATGCGTGCTGAGGCCTGAGGGTGATGCCAGAATCATTCTGCAACGCTCTTCCACCTTATCCATGGAGGCAGGTCTCTCAATCAAACCCAAAGCTCATTGATAGGATAGTCTTGCTAACCAGCTTGCCTTGGGGATCCCCTGTTTCTAACCTCTGAGGCCGGAACTTTAAGCAGCCTGCCATGCCCACCCAGCATGTGAGTGAGTTCTGGGAATCCAAACTCCGGTCCTGATGCAAGGCTCACACCTGAACCGCTGAGCTGTCTCCCCACCCTGTACCTGTTGACGGTGTGACCAGTTCACAGATGTTTGGATGTTTTGACAGTTTAAAATAGTTTCGCAGAAAAAGATCTAGGGGTTCTGGTTCCATCGCCTTCGTCTGGAAGATGAAGGGGTCAGTCCTAGAAAGTGCGGCACGTGGGGCTACCCAGTAGAGCAGCCATTAATCACCTATGTCTAGTGAGCACTTGAAATGCAGCTATTGCAACTGTGAAACTGAGTTTTTAATTTAACTTTGATTCATTTACATACAGATAGCTATACGTGGCTAGCGGTTACTGTACTGAACAACATAGGCCTAGACTTCAGTGTTCAGATTTCTGAAGTTTGTTCTTTTGTGTTTGTTAGTCGGGTTTAGACAGGGTCTCACTATGTAGCCCAGGCTAACCTAAAACTCACAATCCTCCTGCCTCAGCCTTCTAAATGCTGGGGTTACAGACATAGGCCTCCATCTAACATTCTTTAATCCTGTGATTTTTGTGACAAATATATAAACTTTGGAGGCATGAATCTGTTTTGCATGGCTCTCCTTTGATTTATAAGATGGAAGATCTTGAGCAAGTCGATTAGCCACTGATCATCCATTTGTTAATCTGTGCAATGGGAATATTAAGACTATTCAGGACTACACAGAAAATTATCACGATCCGTCTTTAACTGATGTTTTTTCTTGGGAACGTGTCATTCAGAGCTGTGAGTTGCCTTTGGTAAGAGACAGGAAAGGATGGATGGGAACAGAGCTCTTGAGACAAATGCAGGAACCCAGCATCATGTACAGGTATTTTCCTGACATCTAAAAGTTTCCAGAATCAATGGCAACGTCAGAACAAGCTCTCTCCTTGGGAAAAGGATCTTGTTGGATAAGTAGAGGAAGTGTGGAGCATGGCAGGTCCTCGGAGGCTGATGCCATGGAGCCTTCCAACTATGCCGTTTTCTTGACCATGGTGCCACAGGACTCTGGTCAGAACCTGGTCCACATGTAATTTGTCTCTATAAAACATACTGGTCCGGCGATTGTCTTTCTCATTACCTGTTTATACCACAAGTCCTATGTGCTTTGTTAACATGGGTTGAAATGTTAAACCACTTGATTTTGGAACATTGAAGAAATCACATTTCTGGGCAATCCATGTCCTGGGGACTGGAGCCCACCTAGGTAATGTGTCCCCACGTGGGGACTCCTGCCCTTCTCTGGATGGACAGCTATCACATCAGTGTCCTGTGCCGTCTCTCTTCACAGAACCCCTGTCTCCAGTCATTAGCCTGGGATTTGGATGCTCTGGGAACCAATAAAGTGGGTAGTGAACTGCATGCAGCACTTTTGCTGGGGGATGGGTATCAAGACTTCACAACTGTGGGGTCTGTGACTTCACTGACACCGTTTACCAAGGAGCTGTCACTATCAGGCAGAAGCAGAGTCGGTGGTCATAGCACAAGATTCCAAGCCATATGTCCTCTCCGGGCCTCAGTGTCCTCATTTATAAAACTGAGTGGCCACACCACATACACTTCATAGGCCCGCATGTGGGAGTTCAAGGGGGTAGTTGCAGTCTCTGGCACATAGTAAGTGCTCAATAAATGTTAATTACAGACCGCCCTAGATTTTTTTTTTTCCCAACATAATTACTAATTGCAATGTCCAATTGCCTGTGATCACAGGGGCAAAAAAAAAAGTCAATTTTAAAGAACGATATGCTGTTCAGAGGTTGAAACTTGGATCCCACTGTTTTCTTGGTTTTAACTTCATTTTTCCTTAGCTTCACTCTGTTTATCTTTTTTTCTCTTTTTCTGAAGAAGTAGGAAAAGCCCTGGCTATAAAGCTCAGAGCCCCAACAATAAGCCAACCTATGCCCCCTGGTGCCTCAGTTTGCTCATCTGTAAAATGGAAGCAATGGTATCTGCATTCCTTCCCCTGTAGGCTTCTGTGAAAAAATTACCGGAGGACTGGGGAGATGGCTCAGTGAGTGAGACCACTTGTTGTGTCAGCAAAAGGACCTGAATTCAAATCCCCAGACCCATCTGAAGGCTAAGTACGGCCATGAGCACCTGGAACTCCAGTATTTAAGAGTGGAGGCCAGGAAAAACCCAGTGCTTGCTGACCTGTTAGTCTAGCTAAAATGGTATGCTTCAGGGTCAGTGAGGAAAACCTGTTCAAAATCCAAGATGAAGAGTAAGAGAGAGGGAGCCAGACATTACAGTGCATGCCTTTGATCCCAGTGCTGAGGAGGCAGAGGCAGGAGGATCTCTTTGAGTTCAAGGCCAGCCTGGTCTGCATAACCAGCTCCAGGGCATACAGGGCTGTATAAAGATATCCTGTCTCAAAGAGAAAAGAGAGAGAGAGAGAGAGAGAGAGAGAGAGAGAGAGAGAGAGAGAGAGGAAGGAAGGAAGAAGGAAGAAGGAAGGAAGGAAGGAAAAGAAGGAAGGAAGGAAGGAAGGAAGGAAGGAAGGAAGGAAGGAAGGAAGGAAGGAGAAGATTCTTGGTATCCTCTCTATGCCCGAGACAGACACAGAGAGAGAGAGAGAGAGAGAGAGAGAGAGAGAGAGAGAGAGAGAGAATATGTGTTCATTGAAAAGAGAATGGAGAGAAAAGAAAAATCATAGGGGAGGGTGGGGTAAAAGCTTGCCAACAATTCTAAATTGCTAGCCTGAAGCATGTGATTGGAATGGTCAGAGTCCATGTTTGATGTACAAAAGGGACATAGCTTTGGTCTCCTTTCAACAATGTCTTGCTCTTCTTGCAAGCCTGGTTCTCTTGAGCACAAACTACTGAGCCAAGTGACGCCGTGTACTGAGAATTGTTGCTCTCACGGTAGATTGCGTCACATATTCAATCTCACTGTGGTACGGCCCAAGAGAAGTGACCTGTGTGTACCCTCTACCCACCTCACACATTTGATGTGCACAGCTACTGAGTGAGTGCCCGTTTGGCTGGAGTTTCACTTCCTCCGCCCTCAGAAGTATATCTGACTCTAAATGAATCATCTGACCAGGAAGGATGGATCTGCAATCTGGCTTAGCATCAAAAGATCATTCTAGAAGTCCTCAAAAGGTCTTTCGCGCTATCTGCTCGGTATGGAGTTAAGGTCCTCTTGTGAAACAAGCCAACATGGCCCTGGGCTATCCATTAAGTTCCCTGAGCCACAAAACCCAGGGAGACTTCTGAACTTAAACCTGAGCTTGGGTCTTATCCATCAGTATTTCCAACACCGCTTCAAACCAGAGTACCCTTCAGGCAGAGGAAGCGGGTGGGGAGAGCTGTCCCCCAACCCCAGGCTTTTGACGCTACAGCCAATGACACCAAGGATGAGAATGATGAAGGCAGGCGAGGCTGGCTGTGAAGAAGCCCGGGAGCTCCCAGCCGCCCAGCTCTCCATCTCACAGGGGGCACTCAAAGGTTTCCAGTGCCCTTGGTTGAAAGAAAGCCCCATATTGTTCCACAGAGCTGCGTGCTGGGAGTGGAGGTATTGGGTACAGCTTGGCTCCAAACAAGGAAGGCTTGCCAGACTCTTTCAGCAATAAATCTACCTTGAGCAGCTGATGAAAATAGCTGCAGGACCCTTTAAACCACCGCTGAAAGATTTGCTAACTCTGCCTCAGTCATCTGTTGACTCAGACCCGCCCTGCCAACAGACAGGGTGAATCCAGAGCAAGGCAGCAGCCCTGCCTCCCCGCATTGGACAGAGGGAAGCCCAAGCAAACCACAAGAGACACCCACAAACCCTAAGGTCAGGTTTCCGATTCAGCATCGCAGCAGCTTACAGGTCAGGGCTGCAGGTCAGGCCACACTGTCACGCCACCACCCCGGGATCCCTTGCACTTCACACAGAAATGGTCACTGTCGATATCTGGTTTGAGGCCCAGCCACCTCTATAAGGAAGTGAGGGCAAGACATTGGGATCCCCGGTTTACAAAACTTCCATTTCACACTCTCCTGACACCCAGGGCAGCCCGTGGTCTACCAACAGGGTGCCATTTCCACAGAGGCACCGTGATGGGTCTGAGGTTTCCAGCTGACCCACTGTGACCTTTGCAGACCAACAGGGCCTGGATGAAGGGGAAGATGAGATTAGTGCATACGTGGACCAGAGCCACAGCCATCGGTGGACTCACATGACGCCACTCAGGAAGCAGCCACGGCAGGGAAGATGAAACCCGAGCCGAGGTACCCTTTCTGTTCCTCTTGACTGCTGGGGGGAGTCTCCCTCCCTTCCCTGTTTCCTGAGACTCTCCAGAGAAGAGAACTTTGACTCTGAATACAGTTTCCTTAACTGTCACCCAAGGAACCCTGGCATTGCCGGATGCTCCTTTTAAAGGGGTCTTCTGGGGGTAAACATGCCTGGGAGATGCTGCCCACACATCCCCTACCTGGGAAGTCACAGTATGCTTTGGACAGGGAGTGCTTTCAGAGACCCTGGGGTGAAGTGGCCAGTTTTACTCTGTCCAACTCCTGGCTTCCCATGTTGCTGAAATAGATTCTCTCTGACTCTCCACCCCATCTAGGTCTGTCTAGAAAGAATTATAGCCTTGGTCTATGTTTCTTTCTTTCTTTTTTTTTTCTCCCCCATGACAAGGTTTCCCTGTGTTGTTTTGGTGCCTGTCCTGGATCTTGCTCTGTAGACCAGGCTGGCCTCGAACTCACAGAGATCTGCCTGCCTCTGCCTCCCAAGTGCTGGGATTTAAGGCATGCACCACCACGGGTCTATGTTTCTTACTAGTTGTAGTAGACTAAGAACTTAACCTCCAGCCTCCTGAATGAACTCCTCTACAGGATGGAGTTGTGAGTTAAAATGTAGAAGTGCTTTCTAAACCCTAAGGCACTGTGTGTGTGTGTGTGTGTGTGTGTGTGTGTGTGTGTGTGTGTGTGTTGTGGAGACATGGATGTGTGTGAGAGAGATGTGGTGTATGTGTGTGTGTGTGTCTGTGGCATGTGAGAGTGGGGGGTGTGAGAGATGTATATGGTGTAAGTGTGTATCTGTAGTGGAGTTATGGGGTTGTGAGAGAGGTGTGTGTGGTGTATGTGTGTCTGTAGTGTGGGGACATGGGGGGTGTGAGAGAGATGTGTGTGTGGTGTGTGTTAGTTGCACAGAGCAACAGAGACAGTATCTGTTTCTATCTTGAATAACTTTGTTTGACTTTATGAGGTCACATGTCAAGGAGAGCAGAAACATGGAGAAGAGCCACACTACAGAAGGGGAGAGAGATTTTATGGTGCAAAGACCACGATTTAAGCCCTTCATCCTGATATTTTTTCTTTCTGTAAAGCACTGTATGTCAGCCACAGCTGCATGTCATCCCCTCTTTGGTCAATAGTTACATATTTCGTTGTAATAAACCACGTTGGAGATCATGCCGCTGGGACCCACGTTTGTCTTCCCATCGTGCAGAGAGATTTCATCCTTGGAGCCACAGGCCTGACTTACAGAGCGCTGATGTATTCCCTCGTGTTTACAAGACTGTGTGTCTGTCGTTCCCTAGGACACATTGACAGAGAGCCACCTCCATGTCCACGCTTCAGAGGAAAGTCACAATGCAGAGCCTCAGCAAGCCTCCAGGCAGGCCCTTGGGTGTGCCCCGCCTCGGTCACCTTCAGCTTCCTCTTGACAACTGCCTCTACGCGTTCTCCCGGTGGTGCCTTCCCAGGTAGAAAAGCAGGTCTCAGTGCAAGAGGTCTCTGTTGATCTGAGTGCACCTCCTGCAGGCTTGTTCACCGTGGAAAGTGGCAAGCAGAGGCCAGTTGGCTTGGGAATGAGACTCTGACCAGCTCCTCTTTGCCTGGTGCCTAACCACACACGAATTCCGTCATTCAAGGGCTGAGTTTGAGTTATCCCCCACTTACCAGTTATGATCTCAGGCTTGTTTAATTTTGCTGAGGCTGTTTCCCACCGAGTGGAGTGAGGCTAACACAGCTTTGAGACTTCCACGGGGATCGCGTGGGTTTTAGTACATGTAAAACACGGTACATATTTCCTTCTGTGTTTACTTCTCAATACACTTGTCTTATTATTGCTGTTATTCTCGCCACCACCCGACTCAGCCAGCAAGAGACCAGATAGCGAGACTGAGGTTCCCCTGTCTGCCGGGACAGAGCCATTGGCCATCTCAGTCTCCTCCCACACGCCCCCCAGATTTTCTTCTCATCAGCCTGATTTGCATAAGACTTCTATTTTCTATTCATGTCTACCCATTTGATTATATATTCATTCTACACACAGAAAGGCACTCAGGTTAGGGAATGGTGGCATATACTTGCAATCCCAGCACTCAGGAAGCTGGGGCACCGGTTCAAGGCCATCCTGCATCACATAGTGAGTTTCGGGCTGGCTAGCCTGGGCTACTGTATGAAAAGCTGCTCAAAAAAAAAAAAGACAAAATAGAGGGCTAGTGAGGTGACTGGATGGTTTAAAAGCACTTGCTGTTCTTCTGGAGGACCCAGTTAAGTTTCCAGTAACCACATTGGATGGTTCACAGCTACCTCAACTGCCTGTAATTAGCTCCAAGGGATCTGATACCCTCTGGCCTCTGCAGGCATGTAGCATGTATTAACACATGCATGCACACATGCACACCACCAAAAAAACAAATTTCTAAGAAAAGAAAGAAAAACGTAACAAGACTTAAAACTCAGCAGTTCACCCCATATCTGCAACTGACAACTTTTCATTCCTACCTACAACTTTTCATTCCTACCTGTTTCCACAGATAAACAAGGGAACATGAAACCCCACAAGGCCAGAGGCGGCTGCTTGTCACAGGAGCCTCCTGTTGAAAGATGCCTTTTCCCTCCTATAGCATCTGCCACGGGCTCAGAACAAAGGACGTTTGGGGAAACAAAAAAAAAGAAGGTAGGGAATGTGTGTGCACATGTGCATATGTGTGTGCATGTATCTGTATGTGCAAATATATGTGCATATGTGTGTCTGTGTGTGCATGTGTGTGCATGTGTCTGTGTGCATGTGCAAGTGTATGTGCATGTGTGTGTGCATATGTGTATATCTGTGTGTGGTGTCTGTGTCTGTGTTTAATCTCATTCTAGAAATTAAGTGACTCAGAGGGACGTCTCTGAGCTCATGAAGTGGAGTTGGAATGAGGTGTTGGAGCAATTTGCTGTTGGAAATCGTGGAGTTTCAGCAGCCCCCCATCATTCCTCAGAGCAGAACACTTTGTCCTGGTAGGGGACAGGGGGCTTCTCTATAGGTGTAAGAGCAGATCGTGAGCCTGTGAGCAGCTGGGTCCCTACCAGTTTAAAATGCCGGGGACACCGACTCTAGCAGTGTTCACTCAGTTGAGGTTCCGTCAGCTTTGCAAATATAGGGTGATTTGGCAAGTTTATGGACACCTTTCAGAACCTAAGAACAGGGATGGAGTGATGGTTTAGAGGTTAAGAGCATTGACTGCTTTTTCAGAGGTCCTGAGTTCAATTCCCAGCAACCACATGGTGGCTCCCAGCTATCTGTAATGAGATCTGATAGCAGATCTCTAGACAGAACACTATATATATATATATATAGTTTGTTTGTTTGTTTGTTTGTTTGTTTTTGTTTTTGTTTTTTCAAGACAGGGTTTCTCTGTGTAGCTCTGGCTGTCCTGGAACTCACTTTGTAGACCAGGCTGTCCTCAAACTCACAGAGATCTACCTGCCTCTGCCTCACGAGTGCTGGGATTAAAGGCGTGCGCCGCCGCCGCCGCCGCCGCCCGCCGCCGCCGCCGCCGCCGAGCCACCACCACCCCTGGCTCAGGCAGTGCTCTTAACTGCTGAACTACCTCTCCAGCCCCTGGCCAGAGTCATCTTAAGGAAGAAGGTGTTCTTCACTTCTAAAATTTTACCACATTTATTTATTTGTGTATTTATTTACTTAATGTAAGAACGGGCACCTCCTACTGTGTGCATGTGGACGTCAGAGGACAGTTAGCGGGAGTTAGCGTTGTAATTCTACCACGTGAGCCCAGGAATTGAGTCAGGACCTCAGCCTTGGTGGCAAGAACCTCTGAAGTTGCATCAAAAAAAAACCACAACAACAACAACAAAAAAGCATTGGCTGCTCTTCCAGAGGACCAAGGTTCAATACCCAGTATCCACATGGCAGCTCACAACCATCTTTAAATCCAGTTTCAGGGGATCTGACACCCTCACACAGACATATATGAAGGTAAACACCAATGCACAAAAATAAATAAATCATTTTTTTAAAAACTGACTCTGGCCATCTCTAGCCCTGGCCCTGCCTCACAATTCTGCATGGCACTTTGGCGTTTGGGAAGCATCCATGATAGATAAGGCATGTAGAAGAAACTCCAGTGTTCTGCCCGATAGCTGCTGTGTGAATATGGGCAGGCCTCCGCCGTCTGAAACCGCTCTGAAGGACCACAGGCAGACCAGGCAGCGCTGGTACCAGGAATCGATGTTGTTTTCATTCTCTTCAGGACTGTCTGGGTGGTCCTGAGTCCGAGCTGCTTCCCAGGTTCCTTTGGGCCAGGAGTACAGAGCAGACCTGAACTCCAGCATCACCGCAGGATCAACACAGGCCTGAGCTCTCACACCCAGTCAGTCCCAACCCGAGCCAGGCGCGGAGGAAAGGGACGCCTTTGAATCCCGTGCATTCGTTTAACACAGGAAAGCAATATTTTCCACTGTGTTATTAAAGCCCTGTGTCAATTTCTAATTAGAATAAAGAAATTAAGGCTTGGCTTGTCAGCCACCCCTCACGCAAGAAGTCTGAGTTCCCACACAGCTTTCTCAATGCGACCCTTGTAAAAGAGAACCCACAAGGTCCGTATTCAAAGCAGGGCCGTTGGTGGGCAACACCTGCAGAGGGCGGGTCCCCAGGAACAGAGATCTTATGTGTGTGTGTTTGGCTAATCATTTTCTTCATGTTTCAAAATTATAAATATTACTTTGCATAAGCTGGGTAGATTTTTCCTTCCTCAACCAGCCCCAAGCATGTAGGATGCTCATGTGTGTTTCTGATTCCTGATTTTTTTTTTCTTTTAAGCACTGGGGAAAAAACAGAAAATCCTTTTTATTTTTCTTCCTCTGAAATCAAACTCTCTGAAAGCTCACACCTACACTTCTCAGGGCACTAAATTCATATGCCAGATGTCACAAACAAAAGTAAAGTGCTCTGTGATTTTTCAATGACTGAAAACTGGAGACCCCAAGTATTACCCTACAGTATCCCCCCCCACACACATATATATACACACTAGTGTGTGTGTGTGTGTGTGTGTGTGTGTGTGTGTGTGTGTGTGACGACTATAGAAGGAGAAACCAGGCCAAATGAGATGTTGAAGCCGACACCGGTGACTCTTTATAGTTGTGTTCATGTGACAACGTGGTCAGAAACTGAGATTTTTCTGCTAGGGGGCCAAACTGGCTATTAAATGCTTACAGAAAGAAATCTATTCTCTAACAAATATCTTAGATTCCAAGAGTGGTGGGGCATGCCTGTAATCTCAGCACTCACGAGGCAAAGGCAGGAGAGCTATGAGTTCAAAGCCAGCCTGGATTACACAGTGAAACCTTGTCTCAAAAATAGAGGCTGGGGAGGCAACTCAGTAGCAAAGTTTTGTCCAACATGCACCCAAGCTCCACCCTCATCAACACACACACACACACACACACACACACACACACACACACACACACACACACACACACACTTTGGGGACCCATTCCTCCTCCTGGATTGCCTCATCCAGCCTTAATAGAAGAGGAGGAGCCTAGTCTCACTGCAACTTGATATACCATGGCTGACTGAGAACCATGAGTGGCCTGCCCTTTTCCAAAGAGAAACAGAGGAGGAGAAGTCGGGGTGGGGGCTGGAGCTGGCTTGGGAAGGGCTGGGAGGAGAGGAGGGAGGGGAAACATTGATTGGGATGTAAAAACAATAACAAAAAAATTTTTCCTAAAGTTTAAAAAAAAGAAACTACCAAAGGGATTCGGGCAGTGGTGACACACACCTTTAATCCCAGCACTCGGGAGGCAGAGGCAGGCGGATCGCTGTGAGTTCGAGGCCAGCCTGGGCTACAGAGTGAGTTCCAAGATAGCCAGGGCTACACAGAGAAACCCTGTCTCGGAAAAACAAAACACAACAAAACAAAACACAAAAAAAGCTAGCAATGGGAAACAGGCGCTAATGACGAGCCCCGTCTCACTTCTCACCTGAGGTGGAACAGCCTCCGCTTCTTGTTCCCTTGGCTTGTTCTCTTAACGACGGACTCGGAGATTCCTCATTTATCAGGACACAGAATCCCCAGCCAGTCACTTCAATCCTTATCACTCTCCCCAGTCACAACAGAGATTATTATTCTCTCAAAGGCTTTTATGGTAAGGAGAGGGGACTTTGGGGCAGGATCTCATGTAGCCCAGGCTGACTTGGAATTTGCTGTTTCACTGTGGATGACCTAGAACTCCTGATCCTCCTGCCTCCACTTCCCAAGTGCTGGGGTTACAGGTGTGGACCGCCATACCTGGCTCTCTCAAAGGTTCTCAAATTTATCCTGTTGATAAAACTCAGAAGACTCAGGCAGGAAGGACATACTTGGAGCTCCCTGGAGATATCAAAGCAAAACACCCCCCCCACACACACACACACCAGAGCCACCAGCACCAGCTCCCAAGCCATCGATGACCTTTGCTTCTTCTAGCAGCTATTTGAACAAGAAATGCAGTAAGATACGGTATCATTTGCCCTCTGCAGGCAGCCAAGTTTTCATTTCTGCCATATTGGTTTTGTGTTTATACTTTCTCCAGGCACCAAAGGCTCGGAAATTACCTCCTGTTTCAGAAGAACCCCCCAGAGTCCTCAACCCCCTGAGGAGCCAATTTAAGGCCAATGAACCCCCAATGGAGCTCTTCGTTATCCCAATGGAGATTCATTTCCATGCCCCACAGCCCCCCAAAGAAAAGGCCTGCAGAAGAGGTAGGTTCCCTGATCATGGCACTTCCGTGGAACTTGGTCAAGCCAGAAAGGGTTAAAAGTTGGGATCCTTGCCAGTCCAACCCATCCAGAAGTGATGGCTGAAGACACCAGCCCCCAGGGTCATCCCCAGGGTCATCCCCAGGGTCACCCCCAGGAAAAGTGGGTCTTTTCCAAACAAAGGTAAGGCAACAAAATCCGTAGGATCTCTTCTGATCACACCCAGTTCAATTCTATCTGCCGGGCCCTTCCCTGAGCAGCTCATGTTACGAAACTAGGAAAAGAAGACAGACAGATACATAAATAACTCAGCGTGCCATAGATAGTATAAAAGTGTAAGAATGTTCCGGCAGCTTACAAAAAAAAATTATATAATACCAAAAAAAGCAACTAAGAATGAAAATGGAAAAAAAAAATGTCCTAGTTAGAATTACTATTGCTGTGATGAAACACCACAACCAAAAGCAACTTGGGGAGGAAAGGGTTTATTTGGCTTACACTTCCACATCGCTGTTCATCACTGAAGGAAGTCAGGACAGGAACTCAAACAAGACAGGAACCTGGAGGCAGGAGCTGATGCAGAGGCGTGGAGGGGTGCTGCTTACTGGCTTGTTCCTCATGTCTCACTCAGCCTGCTTTCTTATAGAACCCAGGACCACCAGCCCAGGGATGGCACCACCCACAGTGGGCTGGGCCCTCTCCCATCAATTACTAATTAAGAAAATGCCCTACAGCTGGATCTCACAGAGGCATTTTCTCAACTGAGGCTGTCTCCTCTCAGATGACTCTAGCTTGTGTCAAGCTGACTTGACACAAAGGACATAAACCTTGATTGAAAAGATCAGAGAAGTTGATATTACCAGACCACTTGGATGAAGTTAGCGCTTTAGGTAAACATTAGATTTATTTAACTGGATTTCCCAGCAGCCAAGCTAAAAGCAATTATTGGCTATTTGGACCTTCGTTTTATAAAAAGAAAAAAAAAATGCCCCAAAGAGTCTTTATTTATTTTTAAAATTATTTCATTATCTAAAAGACGATCTCAACAATTCTTGTCAGGAAAAGGATTCTGTTCTTTCTAAGAAGACTTCCATGAGAGCATGAGCCAGGAGAACAGGGAAGACCTCTGAGAGAGCGTGAGCTAGGAGAACAGGTCCAACGGTACTGAAGAAGGCTCTTAGAGGAGCCTTGAGAGTCAACACCCCACCCTGTGTCACAGGAGAAATTCCCTAAGTTGTTTTGCTGTGCCCTTGCTTAACAGGGATTCTCTCTCCTGGGACTTCACTGGTCAGTCTAGGAGAAAAGATGACCCCCATTTTTAAGGGAGTCAGAGCTTTCTAGAAACTTTAACTGCCTCTGATTTCTTATAGCTTTGACTTCTGGGAATTTTACAGGAGGTTGTTTTGTTCCAAAGCTGTTCGGAATTCGTCCAAGGATGAATGCTTCCCTCCCCAACTTCCTTGGAGCCTCCTTGGGAGGGAGGGAGGGACAGTCTGGCTTGGGTCATGTCCCTGCCCTGGAACCAATCACTGTGGCTAAGATAATGAGTTCCTCTTATAATCCGAGCTCAGTCACATGGCCAACCCTGGAGTCACAGAATGGACAGAGATTTACCCAAACCCCATTGTGCAAGCGAGGAAGAGATGAGTCTCCACAAAGACGTGACACGTGGCAAAAACAACTTAGCTTTCTCTTTGTCTTCTAGCTGCTCAGTACCCTGAATCAGATCCACAACCAGAAGAGGCCACGCCTCTGTGGCGGCCTCCCCTGAAGCGGCTGTACTTAGAAAGGCCAAGGGGCATCACGGTGCATCTCCCGGTGGCCAGGGGCCAGGACACACCCTCACCTCAAAGTAGTTCCTTTCTCCCTCCGGCAGCCCAAGGGAACCTCACTCTAAACCGAAACAGGGTAAGACCCAGGAGGGTCCTCCGTGGAGAGAAAGGCTTCCAGGGAGGTTAGTCCATCCTCAGCCTCTTAAAGATGGCTGTAGTTCAGGCAGCAACTGGTTAACCCATGTGCTTCAATACAACTAACAGTGTCTGGCTTGCACGTGACTTACTCACTGAATCAGCCCTCCATAATACTTTCTGGTTACAGATGCAAAATGGCACTAACGTGACTGAAAATTTGCTGCATGCCCTGTTACTAATCCTGTTTTTAAGCCATGAAATTTCATTCCTAATCTTTTATAAATACGTGCTTATTCATTTAAAAGTTTGTTATATTGATAAAAAAAAAGCCTTCACATTTTTTCAAAATATATGGTCATTAGAAGTTATACACATGGGGCCAGGTGTTGTAGGGCACACCTTTATTCCCAGCACTTGGGAGGCAGAGGCAGTGGATCTCTGTGAGTTTGAGACCAGACCACTCACTGCAGAGTTAGTTCCAAAACAGCTAGGGCTACACAGAGAGACCCTGTCTGAAAAAAAAAAACTAAAAAATGTTAAAAATAATAATAAATAAAGAAGTTATGGGTATGTTAAAGTGTATATTTTAATATAGTAAATAGGTTGGAAGTGGTCAGCCATATGTGAAAAGTTCTCCGTCTTCGGAATCCTGAGCCTTCCTCACATACAAGATGACAGGCTCACAAGTGGCAGGTGACCACAAGTGGTAGGTCACCACCGGGCACCTTAACAGGCACTCTCTCAGGTGCCCATCACGACAACACTGCCTTCATTTTACAGACCAGAAAATAGACATGCCAAGAACTCAGTGACTTATCTGAGGCCACACAACTGCAAGTGGCCTTGCTGGGACTGGAGGTCAGGACCTCCCCGTGCTCAACTCCATTCTTGCCCATTACCCTACGTTGCCCTTGAGAATAGACACAACGAGGAACTAGGGTAGGGTCTTCTTAAAAGGTATTGTCAGAGTGGGGGCTTATTTAACCGCCTCCTACGTAATTGTCAGCCATCCGCTTTGCAGCTTCCTTAGAGCTAGTACCGGCAAGGACTGCCTTCTGCCGCTTTCCGGTGCACAGTCAGAGCCACAGAGATAAAGACGGCATGCTGGATTTCACCCTTACCATTGCTCAGCCTGTACTGCCCCGCACTCCTTCTCACCTACTGAATCACCCACCAAGGGCTGAGAGTCAAGAGCCAGCCCATCTTTGGCTGCAATACCAGCTAGAAGCTAGCCTAAGAAGTCTCTGATAAGTCAGAATGACTTAGTTCAGTATATGACCCAAAGGAGGGTCATAAGTTCAAGGTCAGACCCCCAAACAGTGACACCCCAACTCAGAAAAAAAGGAGGTGCCAAAGAGGAAAGCTTTTTCACATACTATGTCCCCCACAGACCTGGCGCAGGGTATTGGCAGCTGGTAAGTGGGATTGTCCCATGCCCACAAAGGCTGCACATTCCCATTCTCTTGCTCAGCCCTAGGATATTTCCCCTCTAATACTACAAAAGTGAAGCCAGCTTTGATGTTTTCACACATCTACATACACACATATTTTATTTTACTGTAGCACTATGTGGGTGTAAGTTGCAGACATTATACAGTCTAGCAGCAAACTATTCTGTCAGCCACAATACTGTTATCACATTAAAAAAAAAGTTAGCATTGATGCAGAAATGGTTTCCAATATAAAATATATATTCAAAATTTTCTAGTTATACCAGCGATGTTCTCTATGGGTTTTTATTTGTTTGTTTCCCCAAATCAAAATTCAATTCAGGACCATGCAGAGCATTCAGTTCTCATCTCTCTTCAGAGACTTTTAACCTGCAAGAATTCTCTAGGCATGGTTTTGTTCTGTGGGTTGTTGTTGCTGCTGTAGTTTAGGTTTGGGTTGGGTAGGGTTTGTTGATGGTGTTGTTGTTGTTGTTTGTTTGGTTGGTTGGTTGGTTGGTTGGTTGATTTGGCTTGAAATGATCTGTTTGTTTGATTGGTTTGGTTTTGGTTTGGTTTAGTTGGGTTTTTTGAGACAGGGTTCCTCTGTGTAGCCCTGCCTGTCTTGGAACCAGCTCTATAGACTAGGATGTCCTCGAACTCAGATATCTGCCTGCCTCTCAAGTGCTGGGATTAAAGATGTGCACCACTACCTCCCAGCTTGGTTTGGTTTTTTGAGATGGAATCTCACATAAAAATATAGCCCAAGCCGACTCCGAACTCACTGTGTATCTGAGGATGCCTTGAACTCCTGATCCTTCTGTTTCTGTCTCTGGGGTGCTAGAATAACAGTTGCTCATGGATACATCAGGTTTCCAAGTTAGTTTCTTATGACATCAGTGACAGTGTATTCTGTAGAAAGTGACGCTAACCTGTATTGGGTCAAAGGTGGTGTAGATTTGTCCACTGTAAAAATACTTCTTCGGTCAGGCGTGGTAGCGCACACCTTTAAACCCAGCACTTGGGTGGCAGAGGCAGGAAGGTGGATCTCTGTGAGTTTAAGGCCAGCCTGGTCTACAGAGTGAACTCCAGGACAACCAGGACTATGTAGAGAGACCCTGACTAGGGGGCGGGGGAGGGGACAGGAAGTACTTCTTTTTTGTAATAAATAAACACCCTGTGAAATTTTGAGATTTCACATGAAGCAGCTTTTACACCTAAAAGCAACAGTTGTGTCAAGTATGAAATAAAGACCATTATCTCTAAAGACAAGCCAGGCTTTTGTAGGTGAGGTCCCAGATTCTGTCTTCCTAGAACAGTCCCTGCTGCTTTTGAGAAGAGAGAATGGAGATGAAGGGTTAAGAGGTGCTTTCTGGAGTCTTTTTTAATCAGTCCTGCGGCCCTCTGTCTACCACGTGGAGGGTGGTATAGTGGGTCCTCCAGTCAATGCGCTCACTCCACATCCATGGGTTCAACCACCCACAAATCAAAAGTGTTTGGGGGAAAAAAATCAACTGTACTAAACACTCCCTCTTTTTTGTATTTTTGCTCTTCTCCCCTAAACAGTACAATGTAACTATTTGCACAGCATTTACATTGTATCAGCTGTTATAAGGACCCTAGAGACAAGTATATACGGGATGCATGTAGGAAGTAAATGCTACGCCATTTTACGTAAGGAACTTTAGCATCTGAGAATGTGGGCACCCACTCTACCCTGAACCAATAGGAAGCTGTGCTTTGTACCCTACATACCTAGAGAAGGAAATGTGATCATTGGCTTTGTCATCAGAAATCTGTAGCCAGCTGGGTATGGTAGCATAGGCCTGTGATCCTAGCATTTGGGAAACTGAGGCAGAGACAGCACACTTTAAGGCCAGACTGGGCTACACAATGAGATCTTATTGTCTCAATAGGAAAGAAAATGGTATGTTATAATCAAAATCTCCTGAGTCCTCATACTCAGGGCCTTCAGACTGGGGAGCCTGCAACTTCTCAGGCTTGTCCCCATCTCTGGATCCCTTCTATGAGATGGCAGTCACAGCTACCACTTCTCCATGCCTCCTCACTCTGGGCAATTCCTCAAAGGAAGGGCTCCTATTCTAGTCAAGAGCAATTTCACTCTTCGGCTCCCTACCCCTTAGCAGGTCTGGAAAGGAGGAGCAAAGCCAAAAACAAATAGAGCCGTTTATCCCGAACACCAGCAGCTGTCAACCAAGCCAGAAAAGACACAACTGGCCTTCCTGATCCCAGAGTTCTTCCCATTTTGCTTTAGGAGATGGTGATAGCCTGGCCAAGAGCGAGGACCAACCACTGCACCTCCCGCCCCCGAAAAAAGGGAAAAAAAGTCCAGAGATCCGGAAGGACATGGACAGCTGCAGGACATCAGCCTGCAACAGTCCCACAGGTCGCTCAAATGAGGGGGCACTGCCAGCAAGACCAGGTAATCATTCTGGGGTGCATGCAAACCCTATCTCATTGTCTTTCCTTGGCTCCTGTCCAGGTTCCCCACCAAAAAGGGGGAAATGGTGGTATTCCCAACTGTATTAGTGAAATTAATGTTCGGCCATCCCCCTAAAGAGTCAGACTTATTTAGAGAGTTTACTGCACCCATACACACCAAGCTGTTTCCTCCTTCCAGCAGCCACACGTGATGACGTGGCTCCCTGAACTCCTGGCTTGCACACCACTGAGTTCAGTAGACCATACTTAACACTACTCCAAGACAGAAACCTCCCTGGGCACAGGAACCTGCGGAGCTTGCCGTAGATAAAAACTTCCAGAGGGAAATCATCCTCCAGCCCAGGGAAGACCTGAGGCCTGTTCACAGGAGGAGAAAGATGCTGCATTCCTATCCTAGGATGAGATAGGGCAAGCCACGCCCTGTGCGGCTGAGCCCCACGTAGCTGCTGGCAGTCAAGGAGTGACCGAGATCAAAAGCAACACCGTAAGACAGCGCGGTAGCGGCTGACACGGGACTTTGAACCCCGTAGGCAGTTCAGAAAGCCACAGCTGCTGAACTACCCCTAAAAATCTCAAGAGAGGTGCCATGCTGGAAACTGAAAGGCAACTGTCAAAGAAACTCAGGGGAGGGACTGAAGAGCCTGCTCCGCAGTTAAGAGCATTTGCTCTTTCAGAGGGCTCCTGGCCTGTTCCCAGCACCCAAGTATCGTAACTGCAGTTCCAGGGGATCTGAAGCCCTCTCCTGGCCTCCTCAGGCACCAGGCATGCACGTAGCATATATGCATACACGTAGGCAAAACACTCACACACAGAAAATAAAACCAATAAATAATAAATCTTAATATATTTTTTAAATGCAATCCGTGCACTGTTCCTCCTCCCTCAGAGCTTTGGGCCACGTCCTCCTCTGGGGAGCACCAGATGAAGGGGCTAGCAAGTGTGGAAGAGGCTTCTCTGTTCACAGCACAACTCCCGCTGGGAGAACAGGGGAGCTGAGAGCCGCAGGGAAAACAACAGACTCCTACCCTTTCATGCTGCATGGAAACAGGGGGGCTCTATTTAAATCAACCACTCTCTCCCTGCCCTGTCTGTCTCCCCTTCCGTCTCTCCTTCTGTCCCCGAAGCATGTGGGGTTGAATTCTTGTAAGCATAAATTAAATATGTAAGTCAATAACTCCGTTCTGTGTTTGCAGTTTCTCTGTTGAGGGCTGAGGGAGTCACAATCAAACCCCTTCCTTCCCCTCTTTCTACACAAATGCCTTAAAGACTTTTTTCTCAGCTTCGTCCCCTTATCCATGGTACAAACGGCCCAAGCTTGATGAGGGTCCCTTCTTCACCAGGGGCCACCCTAGAGGTCAATAACCCTAGATAAATCACAGCGCATGCATACACACGCACGCACGCACGCACGCACGCACGCACACACACGGGAAAATATGATTATAATAGAATGGTACAGTCATGACTAAGACAAGAAATCCCAAGTGTGTATGCTGGATGTGTGTGCATGTGTGAGTGTGTGTGAGTGTGTGTATACTCATGGATCTCAGTGTGTTTGGTAGTACATGTATGCTTATCTGCCCATGTGAGTACATGTGTGTGCTGTGTGCCTGATGCATACCTCTATGTGTCTGAGCATGTGATAGCACACATCTAAGGTGCATTCAAGCCTGTGACAGAGTGCATGTTTCAGTGCATTGTGCCACCGTTTGTTTGTGGCATGTGTATAAGCTTGCATGCCTGCATGCATGTGGCTGTGCATTATGTACGTTTGTCTTTTGAGAGTATGCACATGTATGCACGTGCGTTTGTATCTTTATGCACATTTGTATGTTTGTAAGTGAATTATGTACATGGCCCTCAGCATCCACTCCAGCTAGAGGTCTGACTTTCTACTGCCCCTTTTTGGAAACAGGAAAAGGAAGATTCATATGATATGAACTATATTTAGCTTTTGCCCCTGGTTTCTGTCACAGACCTAAAAACCCGTGGAGTTTCCAGAAGTGTCTTTTCTTGCTCATGGGGAGCCTCTTGGATAATGATAGAGATTATGCTAATGGGGTCACGTATGCTCAGAGAGGGTGCGGAAGCTCCATCCCTACCCTGTGCATCTCACTGGCTGTGGGCTAATTCCTGAGGACACATTAGTAGCCCTGAGTGTCTTCTGTGAGTGTCCTAAGAAAGCATCAACTTCAAGGAGGGAGTCATGGAAGCCTGGTTTATAGTTGGTGGGTTAGAAGCACAGGCCACAAATGGGGGTGGGGTTGGTTGTTTTTGTTCTTTTGGGGGCCACAACCCAGCTTCCAAATAAATCATATGTGGAGTCTTATTCTTAATTATAAATGCCCAGCCTTAGCTTGGCTTGTTGCTAGCCAGCTTTTCTTAAATTATCTCATCTACCTTTTGCCTCTGGACTTTTTCCTTTTCTACTTCTGTATATCTTACTTTCACTCTTACTCCATGTCTGGCTGTGTCGCTGGGTGGTTGGCCCCTGGAGTCCTCCTCCTTCTCTGGCTTCTAGGTCTCTTCGCTCTTTTTCTCTTTCTATTTATTTTCTCTACCCACCAGCCTGGCCTATCCTTTCTCCTGCCTCGCTATTGGCCATTCAGCTCTTTATTAGACCATCAGATGTCTTAGACAGGCACAGAAACACAGCTTCACAGAGTTAAACAAATGCAACATAAAAAAATGCAACACATCTTTGCAGCATAAAACAAATGTCCCACAGCACAAACAAATGTAACACATCTTAAAATAATATTCTACAACATGGGGGCTTGCAGTCAACAGTTAAAATGGGGACAGCCTTGTAGATCTGAGCCTTTAACCTGAGGAATCTGACATTACTCCAGGTAGAGGTGCCAGCATTGAGCAGAAGTATAGGAGGCCCCCCGCTGTTGTCTCTAGAGAATGGTTTGGTGAGGGAAACCTCCACACACCTGGTCACAGGTGTTTTCTGTGTCAGGACTGGGAGCAGAGGAAGAACATACGTTTTTTTCTTTCATAGTCAGTTTACAAACACACCTTGAGTCTTTGCAAGTAACCAAGAGACAGACAACTTCTTCGGGCAGCCTGGGCTGGACTTCCTGTATAGTCCCAGCACTTGGTCCCAGTCTGTGATCACACACAAAGGCACCAACTGGGAGGAAAAGCAAAAGCAGGAATCACCAAATTGTGGACCCAGGGACTAGGCCACACTCAACTGGAGGAGGCCACACTGGCCTAGAACTGCCCTCAAAATGCCCAGAGCTGCTACCTTCTCCAGACTCTGCATGGGTGTAGTGTGGCTCGTGGAAGCCCCTCTATCTCATCCTGACCCCCAGAAGATAGGGCCTAGGCAATAAGCCTACTCTGCCAAGTGCCTCAGTGAACGCTGGCGAGCAGAGGACACACCAGCATCTCCGTTCACACCCTACCTGGGCTTAGGGAACACAGCCAGGCTCGGCCTCCCTCACCTGCACTGAGGCTAATGCTGCCCATGCATATTCTTACTTTCAAGAAAATTCCAGAGACCCCACACTGGGACACTTCGTGCGGAGTCTAGATGGTGAAAACGTCTGCCTGTCGCTCGAGGGGCTCTCGGGAACAGAGGCGCTTCCGCCGGGACAAGGTAAGAAAGCACACTCCAGGGCAGCCTTGTTTTCGGTTTCCAAAGGTTCCCAGCGGCAGCAGAGACATCATTAAAAGCAGCCGATGCGAAGCAGCCAGCTTCTCCCACTCCCTGACACAGAGGTTCCTCTGTGGTCCAGACACAATAACCCTATGTTCGAGGAACAAGTTCCCTCTTGCCGGAACACCTGGAGACAGGAGTTGCAGGGGAATGGCTTGGAAGAGCTCTAGTGTGCCATGTTGATGCCTTCCTTGATCGGGTTGATAAAGCCCTTTTGGTATTTGCCCAAACTACACAGGGCCTTCTTCTCTTCTTTCCAACCACGCTCCTGAGGTGGAGGTGGCTAATTGGTAACCCAATCAGGCATCCTTGTTATGTGCATTGGTTCACTGCTGTGAGTCACCTGGCTCCTGACAGACAGCGAGGCAGTTTCCAAAACCCCTTTTGGCACGGAAGCTTTCTGGAAGAGAGATGCTGACTCTGGGCAACAGCCACTTTGCAAAGGAAAAAAAGAAATGAAATCAGAGGGTGATGAGTGTCAACCACCCAGAAACCATCGGGCTGGGCCTGCATGAGCTGTGCAGCCAGCAGGCCCCTTGATGAGGAAGATTAAAAGCTGCCTGCATTGGTGGGTTATGTCACAACTGGCTTAATGAGAAGAGCCTGGATCTGGGGCCAGATTTCCATAGCCCTGGCTTGTCCTCTACGTAGCCTGATGATGTTTTCTGTGTCCATGGTTGCTCACCCACAATGACAAGACACACACACACACACACACACACAGACACAGACACAGACACAGACAGAGAGACACAGAGAGAGAGAGCTATCTATCCCTTGACTGCATTTTATAGTCTATGACTATTGCTGTAAGTTCCACCCATTATAGGGATTTCTGGGAAGTACGATGCATTTGCTTCTGAATTCAGCATCCAAGAACTCCCATTCCCCATTTGGTTATACCAGAAGATGACTTGTTAAATATCTTGGGTCTGAATCTGCTGGAGCAGGAGCGAGACAGTTGGAAGGACTCTCCGGGGTACAGCTGGTGGGACAGCCGGGGAAACAAATGGGCCAGTCACCTGCCGCGCACTTGCCCACGCTGTTCCGGGGGAAACAGCTTCTCCTTGGACAATGCAAAGGCGACTGGCAGAGACAGAAACGTTGAAGTGTTGTGTTTGCTGCTACCGTGTAGATAGGATGCTTTAGACACGTCAGTGCCTCCAGCTCCCGTCCCAGTTCCCAACACATGGAGCAGGATCGTAGCCAGTGTTCACTGAAAAGGAGTTCAGAGACTGGAATGGACTTGGGGGAGAGTGCTTGCCTGGCATGCACAGGGTCCTGAGTTGGAGTCCTAGCAAACACCCCCGCCCCCAATTTCAGAGAGAGAAAGAGAAATACAACTTAGGCTAAATAAATGGAGACTTGTCTGCCTCTTCTCCCCATCCGAAGGACGACACACTCAGTCCCACTTGCTTCTGAAATTCAGAAGCATCCATCCAGTGTGCTCTTGCTGAATGAATCAGCTAGGCAGTCTCCCTCCCTCCAACTTTTCCTCAGTGTGGTCAGCCGTCTTAATGGTGATTGGATGGTGCTTCAAGAGGTAAGGAAATATCTTAAACTCACATCTTCCTACAATGATCCAAAGGACAGGTCGACCTTTCTTTTTGGTTTGTTTGTTTTGTTTTGTTTTAGTTTTAGTTTTTAGTTTTTTGAGACAAGGTTTCTCTGTGTAGTTTTGGTGCCTGCCTCTGCCTCCTGAGTGCTGGGATTAAAGGCGTGCGCCACCGCCGCCGCCGCCACCGCCACCACCACCACCCGGCCAGGTCGACCTTTCTAAGAGACTCCATTCATTGAAGCACACTTTTGGAGACTGTGCTTATGTGTATCGGTGTTTTGCCTGCACACATGTCTGTGCACCATGTGCGTGCAGTGCCCTCAGAGGCCAAAAGAGGGCGTCCTATCCTCTGGAACTGGAGTTTCAGATGGTTGTGAGCAACCTGTGTGTGCTGAGAGTTGAACCCTGGTCCTCTGGAAGAGCAGCCAGTGCTCTTAGCGGCTGAGTCGTCTCTCCATCCCCTGAAGAAGTATTTCTGTTGTTCTGTCTTGAATTGTTTGTGGATTTGGGGGTTCTGATCGTTTGATCTTTGGTTTGATCCAACAGAGAGTATATTGAAAGTTCTTTCCCCTTTGCAGAAGACTTTCTCTACCACCAGAGACTCTGAAAGTTCAATTTTACTCAGATCCATCTTTTTTTTTTTTTTTTTTGGTTTTTCGAGACAGGGTTTCTCTGTGTAGCTTTGCGCCTCCACCGCCCCGGCCAGATCCATCTTTTACATTTTATTTTACTTACTCATATTAATTTTGGTGCTAGGAGTGGAACTCAGTGCCTCCCACATACCAGGCAGGAGGTCCGAGGCTGAGCTACATCCCCAGTCTCATTGTTCCTCGGCCACCATTTCCACACCCCTCCCAGCATCATCTCCCACACATTCCAGCTGCCCTCCAGTGATCCCTCCATCATCCCTTGATGGCCCAAATGTTCAGTTTCCAGGCTTTTCTCTCCAGGCCTGTTCCTGAGTCGTCCCCCCAAGTATTTAGACAAGCTCTAAGTTCATCTTTCCCAGGACATTTTCCTGAATAATTTTACCTCCCTCCATACAATTACCTAGATGTAATCTCACCCCTTTCCTCTCTCTCAGTCCCACCTTTGTGATTTTGGATTTATCTGCATCTGTTTTCAGTTTGGCTCTCTAATATATGAGTCCTAGGGAACCTCCTCTCTTTATCCTATGTCCAAGAAATGCGTGTTGACTGACTGAATACCCCAGGTGCCACACAGAAAAGTTCTTGGGAGAGCATAGTTAGGTTTTTTTTTAATACTGAAAAAAATTCTTAAGTCAAAGAGGGAATATGATCTGTCTGATCCTCCTGAAACTGTAAGGCTCTGTCAACAACTATTTGGGGATAAATTCTTAGGCAATTAGATCATGATAGTTCGCTTTCAAACAGCAGAGAGAGATGAATATAACCTTTAGAAGAAGGAGAGGGGAGAAAAGATGTGAAGCACTGGAATTTGGCTCTCCCGCTCATCTTGGGCTATTGCAACACTCCCAGAATTCAGAGGCTTCCAAAAGGAAAAGTTGGCTTGGAAAGGTCTAAGTCAAGCATTGGACATGCTCTCTGAATTGCTTATCCCTGATACAAATCCTCAAATATTCTTCTCATCACAGTGCCAGCCGCACACATTTCCTCTCAAGAGTTCTTCTATTCACCAGTTTCATACTGAGAGATAGTCAAAGATGTCGGAGCCAAGAATTCAAGTTGGGACCTCAGGTCCCATGTAGACTTCAATTCCCAGCCTCTTTCAGAGTTCTTAATCAGCCTTCAGCATTGTCCTAACGGGATGTTTAACCCAAAGTGTGTTTCCCATCTGCTTATTTCTTTGTTTTACCCCTGCTGCTCTGCTTTGTCATATAATCAGCATCCTGACCCATGCAGCTTTTCCTGGTCTGGTGGTTTAACACGTGTCCACTTGACATATCTCCCTTCAAAAGGTTACAGTGGCTGGCTCACATCTAATACTGATGTGGACAGAAGCGAGGTAAATGGCTTTGGAAACAGAGTCTGTCTTAGCCCACTGTCTGTTGCTGTCCTTTTCTGTTTGTTTTGTTTTGTTTTTCGAGACAGGATTTCTCTGTGTAACAACCCTGGCTGTCCCGGAACTCTCTGTAGACCAGGCTGGCCTCGAACTCACAGAAATCCGCCTGCCTCTGCCTCTAGAGTGCTAGGATTAAAGGTATGCACCACCACTACCTGGCTCTGTTGTTGTCTCAGGGCTTGTTTGTTTGTTTGTTTGTTTATTGCTGTGAAGAGACATCATGACCACAGCAACTCTTATCAAGAAAATATTTAATTGGGGTGGCTCGCTTACAGTTTTAGAGGATCAGTCCATTATCATCATGACCGGAAGTATGGTGGCAGCAGGCAGACATGGTGCTGGAGTAGTAGCTGAAAGTCCTACATCTTGCAGGCAACAGGAAATCAACTGAGACACTGGGCAGTATCCTGAGCATAGGAAACCTCAAAGCCTGCCCCCACAGTGGCACACTCCTCCAACAAGGCCAGACCCATTCCAACAAAGCCACACCTCCTAATTGTACCATGCCCTGTGAGATTATATGGGTCAGGTTTTTTTTGTTAGGTTTTTTGGTTTTTGTGGGGTTTTTTTTGGGGGGGCGTGTTTCAAGACAGGGTTTCTCTGTGTAGTTTTGGTGCCGGTCCTGGATTTTGCTCTGTAGACTAGGCTGGCCTTGAACTCACAAAGATCCTCCTAGCTCTGCCTCCTGAGTACTGGGACTAAAGGCATGCGCCACCGCCGCCCGGCTTATGTGGGTCCATTATATTCAAACTACCCACATTCTACTCCTTGGCCCCATGAGCTTGTAATAATATCAAAATGCAAAATGCATACTTCCAACATATAATGCCACAGGATATACATTACCATTCCAAAACACAGAGGAGGAAGAATAGTGAGGAAATACTGAACCAAAGCAACACAGAAAACCAAGCTAATTACATTGAAACCATCACAGTTGCCATAACAGAGTAAGTGAGCCTGGGTGATCTGTGAAGAACAGAGACTTCTTCTGACTCATTGTTCTGGAGACTGAGGAATCCCAGAGTGCAGCGTTACATCAGCACCTGCTGGGGGGGTGCTGATAAAATAAAAGTACAAAGTGTTGCAAGTTAGTACACTCGAGTTCTAAGAACTCACTCCTACAATAACTGATGTAGACTCAGGAGCATGACAACACCCTCATTGCTTCAAAAACTAGCCCACCCCGCGGGGAGGAGCATCACCCCCTGTCACTCGTGAAGGCAAAGCCCAAACACCTACTGAAGGTCTCACCACCTCTCAGCTCTCTGGCACAGGGCGGGGATCAACATGAGCAGGAAGACATTTTGTAGGAGGAGTTTTTTGTGGTTATTTTGGT